TAATGTTTGTCCGACAAAAGTATTAAGTTGTGTCCGACAAATAGTTCGTTGCAACAAATTCATTTTCGAATAAGGAAAGTAAGTAAATCCCACCACAACAGCAGTTCGGGACTTTTTGTGACATTTTACCACCTAAAAGCGGGAGGAAAAGGCAGTCGCGGCATATGACTTGCAGGTTTTTCCAGTGAACTGAGTTATACGTTTTGTAAGTTTCCATATGTCCGCATAATGTAAACCAATGCATATCAGGTCTATAGATACGGTGCAAAAAAATCTACGTAACTACACGAGAATTTTTCTGACCATTGCGATAATGATATCGGGGCTAGCGTTATAAGTATTTTTCGCTTTTTCATTGTGTTTTCCTCTTTTCTTCTTGATCAGTAGCAGGGTTCAAAGGGCAGAACTGCGGCAAAATGTCCTTAACGGGGCTGCGACGCTATACCAAAAGTGAAACTATCTGAAACTGGCAGTCCCAAATTTAACAAACACCTCAGCTTCTCTATGGCACCGGATACCGTAGTAATACAACGGTTTGGACTGATTCGGGTTTCATCTACTTATGTCGATTTCGATCTCACCCGCCTCTTGGAAGGCATTTTAAATGAAGGGCAAAGCACTTTCTATATGCTTTGCAAGGTTCCGGTCTGAGACCTCACACTTAGCACGAAGTGGGCAGTGGTAAAAAGTTCGTTATACAACAATCATCTATGGAGAACGAGCCTTCACAATATCAGCGCAGAATGAAAAAAGATATGCCATGAAAAGTACCAACTATTTGCATCATCTTTCGTCTTCTCTAGCACTTGTCTTTAGCTCCTACATTTTGAAGAAGCTGGTATTCTTCAGGTTATGATGGGAGGAGGCAGAGCTTATTTTATGAATGAGACTCGAGGTGGAAAGCGGTTGGATGGGCGGAATGTCGACATTGAATGGAAAACACTGGGCGGAGAACGAAAAGTATTACATTCTTTGGAGGACTTGCAACAGCACCACGTTTCGGAGAATGAAAAAGTGTTAGGTATAACATTTCAAGCGAATGCCTGGTTTCTGAATTCAGAATCTCACTTCCATTTTTTTGTTCATGCGTACACTCGAATCACTGTGGTAATGATGCAACTCATAGACAAAAGATGATCATTATTAACACATTCACGACGACGCCCCTTTTCCACTTTTCGGTCGCGTGGGACGGACGCGATTTTGTGGGCGCCGCCGCCTCACCACATAACCGCAGATTGTTTTGTAAATGAACAAAAACATGAATGTCACAAAATAATTTCTGCAATGTCCAATGCGTAAAGATTATCTAAACATATAACAGTAGGATTTCGATCAGAACGACAATAGTGGTTACGAAAAGAGAGCATTTATTCACTTTCCCGTGAAGGAATTTAAAAGCATTTTACACTCGATTACGAGGTTTGCCCACCTATCTGTCCATTCCTAGCGCCTGGCAAGCGATTATCAGTTGGCAGCCCATATGGGCTGCCATCGTCCCAGGAGCGCATGTTGTTGGCAGCCCATATGGGCGGCCATCGGCGTGAATGTGTTAATGATCAGGAGGGTAGCAGTCCAATCAAGTTTCATTTGCGCTCAAGTTCCCTTTAAGAAAACCTCAGTGAAGGTAATAGTATTGGACTCTTTGTTAGAGAGATCGCGCAAATAGCGGTGTACAAGGTGGTCAAGAATAACGGAATCCGCGGGCGCTCACGAAACTTCAAATTCTACATGTTCTTATATGGATAAGCTGGTTTTTTGCATATTGCTGCATTTTTCTTCTATGCTGTCACAAAACAACCCAACGAAGTGGTTTCTTCATCTTGAAACTTCCATTGAATTGTACTGTAAAGGCATTACAGCATACTACTTCTAGGAGAGTTCCCGATATATCCGTGTGAACAATAACAATGGGTGATCATAAGGAAGCTCGGGAGATTAAGAAACCTTTCTCCACCTGCTGCAATAGGAAGCCACCCAGTGCTGTCACAAGAACCAATTCAAAGAGATCAGCCGCTCTCTCAGATTGAAAGGCTCAATTAGCGAGGCTGACAAGAAGATGTGTCAAGATAAAATTAAAGCGGCTTCGTAGTGTACGACCCAAACCTGCAAGATCCGTTTAGAACTACAGTACTTCGAAATGCTTCTGAAGGGCCCAAGATTAGCTTCACGGCACCAACTTGCGGGCCACGATGGATTATTCCCCAAAGAAAATCGAGGTTATACACTAAAGATGGTGGAAGAAGATTTGAAGTCAAATAATCAGTGCAGCCATAGACGGTAGAATAGCTTTTCTAGATACCAGCTCTTTAGGCAACTAGGTGATGATGATTTGAAGGGGAATGCATTCCGATACCTCTAGAAATTTGAGAAAGTAGAAGTGCCAAATTTGCAACTTCAGAATTCTACTAGCGAATGTCGTCAACAAATAGGAGCAATCTATTCTATCCAGATCTAATCTATCCAGATCTGCACTCTTCTTAGAACTTTTCAAATATCCCCGTACACGCGTTCTATTCCAGCAGTTAGTGTTATGGAATAGAAAAATGTCAATGTCAAAAATGCTTTGATTTAGTCATTTTTAATATTATATAATATAACAATATATATAATAATAATATTAATACCGGCGCTAAGACCCTGCACTGTGTGCTGCCGTGCTGCCAGCGTTATCAACCACGGGATACGTTGTCTCTGCGTACTTTTGCGTATTATAATGTCAAGGCATCCATTTGCACTTCCATGTACGAAATAGAGCCTTATTGTAAAGCCTACGAGTCAGGAGTAGGCATCCCAGTTCAGGAGTCTTCCCAGGGTGCGGGATTGCGGCCTTTTCCCGCAAGGCACTTGAGGGCGACACTGTCGCGACTTCAGAAGTTCGATGCCGCCGGGCGCTACAGTACCCTGCATCTGTGTGCTTGGTCCTTGTGCTACCACGTTATTCAACTTTAACGGTTCGGCGCGTACTTTGCGTTTACGCGACGTACTTATCTCTGCGTTATCTCTCCTCTCCTCGGCAGGCACTGGGTGTCTCTCAC